ATATATATATATATATATATATATATATATATATATATATATATATATATATATTTGTTCTCCGTTTTAAGGATTTTAAGATTTTTTTTTGTCCGGCACACAAATACTAGCTGTATTTAAATGTGGTCAATAAATGGTGTCACAACCCTACTTCAGTTAAGTACAAAAAAGAGTTTGGCAAAAAGTGTTTTACCTTCCAGACAGCTTTTAAAATCAATAAATATAAAACAAATGATTTTACTATGTCCATTACTCCATTTAAAAAAAAGAAAAAGAAAGAAAAATGAAGCGTAAATTTATGTGGACTTTTATTTGAATGGTAGTTCTCTGACAAACATCTTTGAATATGAATAGGAGAGAAATATGAATATGAATTTGATAGTAGTGACTAATTCTAACTAATAGTAAAGAAGAGTAAAAAAGTGAAAAAGTCAGCGAAAACAGCATCTTGATATTTTTTATAGGCCGAAGCTTTTGCAACTACGAATTTTTTATTTTAAGAAAGAAAACATTAATTTATTGTGATTTGAATGAATGATGCAAAAACGTAAAACGTTGCCCATTCGGTCAAAATATTGATCTAACACCGGGGCGTTTCTAGTATTACTTCTAAATCCTGACATCCTTGCATCTATCACCCATATATGCTATTCTGGAATTATACATATATATATATATATATATATATATATATATATATATATATATATATATATATATATATATATATATATATATATATATATATATATATATATATATATATATATATATATATATATATATATATATATATATATATATATATATATATATATATATATATATATATATATATATATATATATATATATATATATATATATATATATATTCTCACGTATTGATTCACGGATGGAAAAATATGATGACACTATATTCCGGGATATCATCCGTTCGCTCGTTGAACTCCGACTGGAATCCTGCATCCGACTGGAATCCTGCAAATCCTGCATCCGACTGGAATCCTGCAGACGTTTCGCCAAAATCTCACTTGGCATCTTCAATGCTCGCGCTCCGAAAACACTTCGAACACTCGAGTGTTCGAAGTGTTTTCGGAGCGCGAGCATTGAAGATGCCAAGTGAGATTTTGGCGAAACGTCTGCAGGATTCCAGTCGGATGCAGGATTTGCAGGATTCCAGTCGGATGCAGGATTCCAGTCGGAGTTCAACGAGCGAATGGATGATATCCCGGAATATAGTGTCATCATATATATATATATATATATATATATATATATATATATATATATATATATATATATATATATATATATATATATATATATATATATATATATATATATATATATATATATATATATATATATATATATAATTCCAGAATAGTATATAAACATATTTTTTATGAATATCCATAATCAAGAGCGCTCTTGACATTCTGTTTTAAAAACCAAGTATCTAACAGCTTATTTTTTCTTATACATTTTGAGTGTGCACTGTTCCATTGACTTTTAAAGCTTTTACTTATATTTACTCATCTACTTGGCTTCTTTATTTGCGATAAGTAAATCCCAATCAATCAACTGAATTCTTAAATGGAAAATAATTTCCAATTGTCTCTTTGATAACATGTTATTTCACAACCAATACGGCTACTACTTCACGAAATCCGAATTGCGAAAATAAAAGTCCCGGCACAAATTACGAATTGAAAAAGTGGCAAGTCAAAAATGCGTAGCTACGCCGCCGTTATCGTATTTGTAGTTGGCGTGAGTAAACAAATTTCCCAACATTGGGGAACAGATGGGACTCCTGAATATACAAAGGGCTGTATTCAATCTGGGTCACATACAAACTCTCCGCCAACCCTCCTTTGATACTCCCGGTACATATCAGCGGAAAGTTATGGCAAAATAAATTCATGCTAGTTACTTTTAGCCTTTCATATTTAGTAGTTAAAGACGAAGGTTTCGTTTTCCGATAAAAACAAATGATAATTTGATATGCCTCCGTCAGTGATTACATCTTGGGCTAAAGGTATGCAAAATGACAATTAAATAGGTCAACATAAAAAAAAGATAATCCCTAAAAATGGACGCTAATTATTAAAAAAAATGTTATAATTCCATCTTACAGATTCCAGAGAGTTAAAGTTATAGATAATTATCTCATTTTTCAGAGGTTCTTGCAAAGATGTCGAGGAACTATAAACCTTTTCACAGATTATAATTACAACATGTAGTAGGCATTTTAATGTATATTATATGTATATACTAATCTAAAAAGTGAAATAATACTTTTTTTATATCACATTTCCGATATGTGAGAAATAGAATTGAAATTTTAAATGGGTCACTTTATATCAGTATAAAGGTGCAAAGAAAAGGTATTTTCAAAAGCAAAGTGTCTTTCATATTATGCAAGATTTGTTCCCATGTAGCTCCAAATCGGATTATACAATTTTTCAAGTCTCAAAGAAGTAGGGAAGTAATTATTAAACGGGATTTTGTAGAAGGACACAAGTACAGATCCTCTATAGTGCTGATGGTAAAAAGTTTACCTATTTACAGAACTCTTATTTCCGTTAGTCAAAATTAGAATTTGTTGACAGTACGCCCCCATATATTAAAATAAATATAAACAACTTTAGAATCGATGAACATGTCTTTAAATTGGTCGAAAAATTTTAAATTTGTTACCCAAAAGTGTCACTGAAATATCTCACCTTCCAACTTTCAAAGAAGAAGTACTTACTGAACAATCCGTAAATATTTGCAGGACTTTTGTCTATACGTATTTGTCTTTGTTTGTTTGTTTGTAGTAGTTAATGTATAAACTGTTATTTAGAATTAATATACTTTAGCTCTGTTTAGTTTTAGGTGTTTTTACTTTTCTTACCTACAATAATCTAGCTACAACGATTAATAATAAAATAAATAAAAATATAAATAAATAACACATAACACATAAGATTTTATATTTAAGTTCATTCACGAGTTTATTTTCACTCTATTCTAACTTTTATGTATAAAACGCCGTCCTTTATAATATCAACTAAACTGGGACAGACGGTACACTTTGTGATAAATTAATTGTAAGAATACGGCAAGAAAGACGGGAATCGAATCATCTGGCTATGCATTTTGCAAACCGACTAAAAAAATATATAAGCTTTTTGCAGAAGTTTCTGGAATAATGACTGTTCATTTCACTTAGCTTTCTCTGTACATTTTACAAGCTGACCGAAAATTGTCAGACTTTTTGAAAAATCTCATCTTGTCTAATCGTTTTGTAAATCGGACGAGAATGAGAGTTATCCTGCAAACAATTACAATAAAATAAAATGAATCATTGAAATAATTCAACTAAGATGACGATAGTGGATCAATTTAATTTCTCCGGGAATGGTAAAAAGTATTAAGTGTTTTGCAATTATTGTTTCTCTAACGTTCGTTGTTTTTAAAGAAATATGGAAAGGAACCAGAGACTTGGCCTGGCTTTTAAAACATAGAAAAACTATAAATATATAACAAAAAAACACAGATGATGGCCGCAGCTGTGTTTCAACACAGCCTTGTGTACAATTATGTCAGTTTACGGTGGTGTTTTGTTCACCTCCGCCTGCCTTCGCAACGTACACATGCCCAACAGCTGTTTGCTATTTTGGCCACATTCTGGCTTAATTCCGCAATAAATTTTATAATTACCACTGAAAATTGTACCGGGTGTGTCGTTGCCCAAACAGCTGATTGTTACGAATAAAAATTATCACAATCGTATCGGTTGAATATTTTATGGTTTCTGATATTTTCAACAAAATTTAATGCAAATGTTACTGTGAAATTGGAAGTTCAACAACTAATAAGCCTTACAAAAAATTGCTTAACTCGTGTAATTTGAGTAGGCAGAAAAATTATTTAGATTTCTTTTAATCTCATTATTTTGAATGGAACATTCTGTATAATATTTAATTTTTTGAATTCTGAGAAAATTTTATAATTTCCCTATATTTAATCCCAATGTGCCAAGATGCAATCATTGGTTTATTAAAATTCCACACCCTGTACATTGTTCTATGGTTTGAGGTACAATCTAATTCTGCATCGATTGACCATTTCTTTCCCTGTACCTGTTTTCAACGGTATTCTTGCTATTTCGAATTTTTTTATAAAAAGTCTATCAAAACAACGACTAGTTAACAGTAGTTTTTTCTAGTTAGGCATTGATTTGAGATTATAAGAAACTCTGGAATTGGTTATCCTAGTGGCTGTATGAAAGGACTGGCGTAGTCTTCGGAGACCTGTACATAATATAGATGAATTATTGAATGGTCTTGACGATGCGTTTACTAGTTTAAATCTAGAAGCATCGAAGCTTCATTATTATTGTACGTGCTCACTAAACTGCATTTTATTTTTTAAACAAAATTATTTTTCAGAGGCACCCAAGCATCACATTAAAATAGAAAATATAGAATGACTAGAGAACCGTTAGAAGTATTGTTATTCTGCATCGGACCATAAATGGCGTCTCATTAAAAAATAAACTTTGAAAATAACTGAAGCTCTAATCAAATTTTGCCAAAAATTGCAATTCTTCTGCCTCTGTGCCTTTAAAGAAAAACAGAAAAAGAAATAAAAGAACTTACAAATATACAAGCAAGTGTAACAATTGTAACAATATTAATAATTTATTATAGTTAGCAACATTGGTACAAATCACGCATTGTCAGGACTGTTGTAAAATTACAGCGCCATTCCTATGTTATCAATAATATAGCATTTACGTAAAATATTGGTTCAAGATAAATATAGGATCTGGTATGACCAACAATCAGACTCCTATATCTTATGCTGCAGACGTGATATTTTTTCTAAAATTGTGATAAAATGGGAAACCTTGCACAGAAGTAAAATTTTCGTTTCCGTTTTACATCTTCTTCTTCTTCTTCTTTCTTCTATAGTAGGCCTATGGCCTGTTCCTTCATCGGTCGCCTCTCAACCTGAATTGAGATCGTCGTTCCATCTTTTTCTCGGTCGTCCCACGCTCCGTCTTCCGTCTGGTGATTTGTCTCTAACGATTTTTACTAGTCTGCCATCTTGCATACGGTTAATATGGTCATTCCACTGTCTTTTTCTTTGGAGCACCCACTCGTTCATGTTGTCCACTCCGCACGATTGCCTGATGTTTTCGTTTCTTTCTCTGTCTAGCAGTGTTTTTCCTGAGATGCGGCGGAGAATCTTCATTTCCGTAGTCTCCAGAAGTCGTCTAGTTTTGCGGTATCCGATCTTGTTTCTGCCGTGTAGGTCATGATCAGCCTGATCGTTGTTTTGTAGACTCGTACTTTTGTATGTTTTTTCAGATGTTTGCTTCGCCAAATTACATCGTTTGCCACTTTATTGGCTTTTGCTACCTGTTGCCTCACTTCGTCCTCCATATTTCCATAACTGGTAATGTCAATACCCAGATATTTAAACTCCATCTCTTGTTGAATTACTTGCCCGTCCACTTCCAGTTTACATCTGAGCGGCTCTTTTGATGTGGTCATACATTTCGTTTTTTGGGCTGAGATAGTCATGTTAAATTGCTTGGCTGTGCGGTCGAAGATGTCTAAAAGTCTCTGCAGATCGTCTTCGTTCTGTGCGCATATCATTGCATCGTCCGCATAGCAGATAATTGTCACTTCATTATTACCCATTCTGTACCCTCTACCCAAAACGAACTTTTTTTATCACTTCATCCATATTTATATTTTAATAACAACGGACTAAGACAGTCTCCCTGTCTGATACCGTTGTTAGCCTGGATAGGTTTAGTTAACTTGTTATTAATACGGGCTTGGATGTTATTGTTGAAGTATATATATTCTATCGTCTGGAAAATATTTATGGGTATATTTCTGTTATACAATAAATGTATTACATCTTCAACTTGAACACGATCAAATGCCTTTGTGAGATCAATGAAGCATAGGTAGGCTGGTTTATTATATTCTATGAATTTCTCTGTTATCTGTCTTAAGACAAAAACTGAATCGACGCACGCCCTCTTCTAAACCTTTGTTGTTCATTTTGTAGCTACTACTACTACTATTTTGTTGGTAATAACTTTTGTGGTGAGTTTGGGTGTTGTATCTAGCAGGTTTATGCCCCTGTAATTGCTCAGCTCCTGCTTATTTTAAAGTTTTTTTTTCCGTTTTACATGATTGCAAAATTCAAGCAATCCAATAGTAGCCGGACCCCTTTCACGATCAAACGGCATTATTCTATTTCTTGTGGCAAAAATAGTAATCCAATGAATTTCAAATAGCATTGCCAATTAAACTGAATATACAAGGTTCGTTAACCTGCCAAAGAAAAGGTCACAAGGCGATATTGTTTAGCGTTTAGTGTGCCAAGAAACATTGGCGGAGAAAGTCGGTTAAAACTAGGGCCCTTGTTCGTCGACGTTACGTGAATTTCAAAGGCGCGCACACAAGTCAAGGGCGGAACTATTTTTAGTTCAATCATATCACTAATAATTAATAATAATAACAACAATGAAGGTAATTTTGTTGCAATATAAAAATGTAAGATAACAATTTAGAATTTAAACAAATACAAGCAACATAAATGTGAAAGAAAAATATCGAAGATTAGTTGACCAACTTGACAAATATGGCCTGATGCCCGCACGAATCGAATTAAAATAGACTATTCTCAATTAGTTTTCTAATGGACGCTTTGGTCTCGAGCGTAGAGAATCAGAACGAGTGTCTGAAGAAGTTTATTTTTATTTATTTATTATTATATTTCAGGCTACTATAATATTATTTACAAATCTTCTGGATTCCTCTTGCTTCGGTTGATGAATGATCCAACGTCTGCGAGTTTGAATTATAAACAACCGACGCAGTAAGGAATCGAGAAGATTTGTAAATAGCATTATTTTGTTTTTGAAAAACAGCACAAATACATTGAGTCACGTGCGACGTGCGAAGGTGCAAATGTCAAAATGCAAAAATCTACCGAAAACGTCCGACCTCTCAAGCAAGATTAATACGTGGCACCAAAGTGGCGACTTTCCTACCCATGATCAGTGTATAATTGAGTAGACAGTAGATAAAATTATTTTTGAAAGTTGTGCCTCAAAAAATGATTAGCAAATTTAAATAGGGAAGTGTTAATTATGTTTTAGATTCTTTTGAAACGATATTCTTTGGACGCAAACTAATGCAACCTTTGATTACTGACCTATTGTGGGGTCTGCTATAATTCGCTACTCGCAAAATTTTTAAAAAATTAAAAAATATTGCTGTGTCCGAGCTGCTTTCCATCACAAACCTCAAAAATTGATCCTACAGAAGTCTGGATTTCATTTTTAATATTCTGCTTAAGTTGAATTAGTATAGTGGGCTTATTCGCAAAAACCCTTTCCTAAAAGTAACCCTAACAAAAAAAATCAGGAGCTGTGCAGGTGCAGGATCACTCTCCAAAAGTCTCGCTTAAGGTAACCGTGGTCCCTTGGGACGTGACCACATCTCTTGCATATTTTCCTAACCAACTAACTAAACTAACCGGCAACAGTTTCAACATTTTCCTGGTCACCTTCTAAGAAGAATGAAATATAGATTTTTTGATTATTCAGGAATTGAGGAAATCATTTCCTTCTCTGCATAATCACTCGAACCGAATACCAAAACACTTTATTGATAATAATCGATAATAATTTATATTAAATAATTGATATTATGTATTTTATAGGAAAACATAAACAATTTTTTTTTAATTCTATGTAAACTGGAACGGGTCGGCCTCAGTTCAGTAGGTGGTCGTATAATCCATGTTTCCTCATCTTCATTTACGCTTGCCTGTATCTGCATAATGTTGTCTCTGTTCTGCTATCATATTAAGCGTCTGTTTCTCAGGCGGATTTTTCACATGGAGTGTTTTTGGGTTTGCAAAATCGATCTTTGCTTTTCAAGGTAGAGCTCCACTGTAGCTCTTCTGCCTTTAGTGCTGTATTTTCCGTGATAAATTTTCTAAGCTACTTCTTCCTCTTAAATCTGAAACAACATATAAAAACAACGTTACAAGTCTTGATTTAGTAATTTAGGAAAAGAATATCAAGAAAATACCACACCAACTTTTATTAATTAAAATGCTTAGAAAATGGAGAACAACACAATATCGTTCATAATACAAATATCCGTCTACAAAATTTGTTTGCTCTACTTAACAAGAGGGTTTAAAAACTGTTTTTTTTTCCTACTGGTCAGATTTGCAATTAATGAATAAAAAATAGATTATTTTACTCCATTCACTAGTTCATTTAAAAAAGAAATGAAGTATATTAGGTCACGAAAATATTTGGGCATTTATTTGGATTATTTCTCGTTTCTCTCTTTTCTCCGTATTTTGAACTCCTGTAATTTTTCTGTCTCTGAGTCATTATTGTTGGTTTTTCAAGCTTAATTGGCTTCAATAAGCTGGAACGTGTAATTTGTAATATGCAACAATAAACTTTATTATTATTATTGAAAATAAAACTGATAATAAAGACTAAAAAATGCCAAATAATATCATATATTATCTAATATAAAAAGTAACGGTAATATAATAATTTTGGTGAGTAATGTTCAACACATTGTTGCAATGGATAAAGTCGGAGCGTGAACGCCACTGATCCGAAGAAACTGCACGCAGCAAATAAACACACACGTTATTGCCAAAGTTATTACTTAAATAAAGCATATTCAGAATAACGTTGGGCAAATACAAACAAATTTACATGCGCAACGTGCGAGGCACATTTCAACTTTTTATTACTTGACTTATGTATATCCTCGAGTGTATGTAAAGAATAACATAAAGCCGTTTCCAAATGCAACACGCGAAAGCTGCGCACAATCAAATTGCAAATTAAGGAAATCGACAGGCGCTTATCTGATTTTTATTTTAGTTTAAGTAGGAGAGTTACCTTTTCCTGACCCGCGTAAATGTTCGTTTGCAAATATACCACACATGTTTTTAACAAGAAAATTGCGAACCGACGATATGCACCTCATGTCCCACTAGGAATTAAAAGTAATATTATCCTAATCTTTAGCAAATTTCGAATCTTTTTTATTTGAACAATTTGCAGTGTCTCTTTTTATTTGTACCTCGGTCGAGGTGATCGGAATATAGTAAAACGAGCTATGTCTGTCTTCCTTACTTTCCACGTTCTAAAAAAATAATAATATATAATCGATACCAAACGCTAGGGCGTTGTCTTACAACTTGTGCCTATGTTCTCAAATTTTGAATGCAACAATATATGTTGCGTTAATTTTAGCCAATAGTGGAAATGAATAAAAGCTTGAAAAGTCTGTGAAATCCGCATCTTGATATCTTTATTGAAATCCAGGATATTTGTTTACGAAAAAATAAACACTTATTTTTAAAACACGATATAATATTTTATATTATTATATATATATATATATATATATATATATATATATATATATATATATATATATATATATATATATATATATATATATATATATATATATATATATATATATATATATATATATATATATATATATATATATATATATATATATATATATTTTTTTTTTTTTTTGATATCGATGACAATACCGGAATACTGTATGGATTATTGAGTTGAATATGATTAAATCAGCTTAAGTTGGATATTCGAAATGAAATCCTGCTTCTGAACATTCTGAGTCTAAGTCAGGCTGAAAATGGAACAGGCATTCGAAAAAAATTAATTTTTTTAAAGACACTCTTAATAAATCTCCATGAAATGTTCTCCAAATTAAAATGAATTCTAAATATTTTTCCAAAGTGAATGATTGGCTCAAGTTGATCACCTGCTCACCGTCATTTTTCTAGCGTGGTTACTGTGTATGTTACTGTTGTTATTATATTTTCTTCTACTGCCAGAAAATAAAGACCTAAAGAACTAAAAATTGTTACTCCTTACATTACGGCATTATTATTTCTATCTCATGTTTTCTTAGAGGTATATCGATATCCTTTAAGTGAAAAACTTTTTGAAAATGCGCGCAATGTTTATTAAGTTGTAAAACAGCGCCTTCTAGCCTCTACAGTCAAAAGTTTAAATAGCTTAATGAGCATTTTTCCGGAGAGTATTTGGCCATAATAACTTAGGAAAATGTAGTAGAGCCAAATGTGGATTTAAAATTTTTATGTGAAGGTATTTTATGGGGTCTATTTAATTTTCCTTTGATATCAAAAAGCTTTCAAGTGCTGCCCTATTATGCAAAAATGCAATTTTCTATGCATAGTGCGTACGAAATTAGTTAGCACAAGAGTTATTAACCTAAAACAATAAAAATAAAATAATAACAAAAATTAAATTTTGATTAATTAAAATTGATGTGATTTGATAAATTAAAATTGATTTATTTTGACAGGATAGTACAATTACAAAACAAAGCCACTAATTACCTGGTTCTAAAACTGAGTTTTCGAAAAATTGTCTTAATTTTCATAAAATTTCCGTATTTATATTAATCGAGCCAGTTTTTTTAACTGATTACACTGAGAAAAGAATTAAAATTTTATTCAGTCTTGGGTTGGCTAAATTTTCGGTGGAAATTTAATTATAATTTTTTAAAAATTGCTTGGTTGTTAAGAAATTTTGCAGCCTTATACCAAAAATTCCTTAACGAACACGTTT